AGATAAAATTAATTAAGTAAATAAAATTTGGAAAATATGAATAACAATCTGCAGCGGAATTCTGACAATCGTTACGCACAATTTTCCTCGCCGAATTTCTCTAAATGAAAAACAGTGGGGCCTAAAAGTATGCAACATGCAAAAGTAACAGATGTAATGTGTAATCAGCCTGCTGTTAGGCGCCCCTGCCGAGTAAAATTTTAAAATTAAATTTTCCATCGAACTTGTTATATTCGTCGTCGAAGTGTCTAAGATAGCCGAAAGAACTAAGGTTGTCCCACCCATGAGTCGACTTCTTTCAGTATTGCTGCCAACCTCTCGTCCAATTAGATCAAACGGAAGTATTTAGATGCAATATCACATTCACGTCGTCAGTGGACGCGAAGATAATCTTCATGACAAACAAACTTGTTGCCTTAATAATTTCCTTTCTGTCTTAATCCGGAACAGTTTACTTGGCATTACTTTCGAAAATGCACTAGTTGATGGAGTGCGAAAGTCACAACACTTACTTACTGCCTAGGAAAGATAACTAATTCATTCTTAGCAAGGCTTATTTGTTCACTTCAGATTTTTGACCATTGAATCGAAAGCGATCTTAATAATGCCCGAGGGAACTTACACTAAACCGAACGTTGCCGCAATTAAAGTTACTTCGTACCCATTTGCTACCATGTGCTGAAACAGTTGGTTCATTATTAAGGATAGCCTATAGAATCTCATTGACGATTCTTCTCTGCAGCCAGTTCTTTTGCAAAAAAGTCAAGCTAAATATTAACGATCGAAATCAACGGAAAAATAAATTACTTTTGAATAGACGAATGAAAATGTACAATATTTTTTTTTTTATGAAATAGAAGCAGGAAATGATGATGCTCATACGCCACATCGTACATCCTCGTTCATGGCGTTTGAGTAACATTTTCCATGCTAAAGTTAAATTTGTTTAATTTGTAAATTTTTATTTTTAGCGTAATTTAGGGTATGTCAGTGCAACAAAGCCGAGTAGTGGTAAATTTTTAAATCAGCTCGAAATCGTTTGAAATCTCTAATTATACATATGTACCACAAACATCATTAAATTCTTATGGAGTAACGTCTTACTTATAAGACATACATTTTTTAAACGCTCTCTTATGAAAAACCAAAATTTAATTACCGACTACCTAGCACAGCAAGTATATATTTACTCAAAAAAACTGCACTGCTGATACTGACTTGCCCCCAGAAGAACGATGATTTATGGACAATAAAAACAATGATGGCAATGTACCACGGCCCCGTGCCATATGCAGAACAAACAAAAAGGTGTGGACCTTATTGGAAAAAAAAACGCTATAACTAAATCGAAATGGTAATCGAAAAGAGCTCGAAGCACATTCACGCAGATACAAAAAAACAAACTGCACATCCAGTGAAAATATTTAATTCAGAATTTTGTTTTTTTTTTTATGCAGAAATGTTTCTAGAGCATTTGTATAAAAAAAGTACATAAGTACATATGTACATACATAAGAGCGAATGGAGCTACTGCAAGTGGCAAAATAAGAGCGCTGTAGGTTACTTATGTACATAAATGCGCACAGAGGACTATGAATTGAGAGATGTGTACGTGGGTGTGCGCGAATAGGGCGGATTAAAGAAATTTATGTCGCTGTAAGCGCTCCAGTGATTTAACAACGCCCTACCACTTTTTACTTCGCATTAAATGTGTGGATTAACACGACAACAGTTATGCTGATATTCAAGCATATAAACGAACATGGATACACATAGTTAGATATGTATGCACGTATCACATTTTCATGTTTGTACGCGCTAAGCAATGGGCTTTTCCTACCAAAGCTGTATCAAAGCTGTGGTCGTTGCCGTATTAACAAGTATTTGTATATTTATATACTATACATACGTATGTATGTATGTAGTATGCAGGCAAAATAATGCTAAACAATATGCGTAATTAATGTCCGGTGGTGGCTTAAAGTTTTCAATGAATTATTAATTAGAATGCGTTTGCTATTTATTTTGTATGTGCAGGCGTATGCTCCTATACATATATATATACATATTTAATATATGCAAATGTAACAGCTGGCGGTGGAATGAAATCCACAGGCGTTGAACTAGTCCACTTGTATTCAATTTGTAACCAATTTTAACCCTGCATAACCATTGATATTTTTTATACGTTATATCCAATGTTAGCCGCATCGACTACCATGGTTTTAAATATAATTGTTTTAAGGTGCAGTATAGTATATTAGCTGCATTTACTTCCACTGCAAATGAGTTGGTGCACTTAAGCGAAATGTGCAGCAAAGCGGAGAAACCAAAACTGTGATTTGTTTTGTTTTAGATTTAAAATTTTTTTCAACACTGTTTTTCAAGATTTTTTCTTTGTATTTAATGTGATCAGGCCTCTTTAACACTAGTCGCTATGGGGGCATTATTATTTGGTTTTTGGTCTTCTTTACCACTACTGATTGCAAATGACGGTATATCGCACATGAAGCAAAATTTTGGCAAAATTGTGTACGCAAGCGGAAAGTGCACCTAAGGGAATGGGCAGTTAAACGGAATATACTGTACCACTAAAAGTTCTAAAAGTGGTTTATTATGAAGCTGTTATAATTTTTTCTATTTTTATTTTTTGAATTCAAAACTACCTAAACAGTTTGTGTTTGGTTTTTATTTTATTTGTGTAAATAATGACTAAAAACTTATTTTATTTTCTTTTTTTTTGTAAATTTCCATTGTACATATTGCCCTCGTACGTTTTTCCAAACATTGCTGAGTGATAGGCGACTGAGCATCACCTTTAGAAGTGCCAATATCTACTAATGCAAAGTCAGAACATTTTTAAAAAATAATGAACTTGTTCAAATAAAATTTTTAACTTGAGACTAAGTAAGTACACATTTTTAAACAGTTTAAGAGCCAATTAAAAATTTTACTACTTTCAAAATTTTATTACAAAATTAATTTTAATACCAAAAATGGTTTGCTTCTATTTGCACTTTATGTACGCAAAATTATATGTTTGTATGTGTATACGTGTCTATGTATAAATAACTGTTTGCACAGATAATTATTTTGCATGCGCATTTGGTTGCGCATGTAAACATAGATTTAAGCAATGCGCCATTTAATGCCACCATTTCTAATTTTTTTTAAATCAAAAATATTTGTTTTTGTCGTAACAACATAAAAATTATTCAAACATGCTATTTATGCTATCTATGCACCAAGCTAGGCAGTATGCAACGGATTGAGAATACACCTTATGCACTATCTCTGCATGTATGTACATATATATCGCTACCTAAGGGTGAAAAGGTGCTAAGTCCATTTTTTGCAATTGCTTAGGAGAGGCGAAAAACCTATGTAGTTTCGCATCATCTGTTATTCTGCATCAAAAAGTAAATTTTGGAAAAAGTGGACTTGGCACATTTTCACCCGTAGGTAGCGATATGTATGACATCATCTATTGAAATAATTAGCGATAGCGTTCAAATTAATATTTTAATTATACGCCACAAACTCTACCTTAATTTGAATTGAACAAAAATACACGAACATACATACATTCATATTTACTTGTCTGTATATGTTAATTCTAAACTAACACTATGCTGATTAAGATTAAATTTTCACGTTGAAATAAATACATATATGCGTATGTAGTATATTAGACCGCACCAGAAAAAAAGTTCGCCAAGAAAAGTTAGGAATGCTAATGTTAATTTAATTTTTCAATCACGTTCACCACGGCGTATGAGCAACATAGAAAAGGGGTTTGTAAAATTTTCTTCTATAGGTCGGGCACCTTACCGACGGTGTGTCGTGATCAGTGGTATTTCAGGCTATATTTGTGCACCGCTGAATCAAACTACACCGAATGTGAATAAATAGTAGATTACGGCCGATGTTCGCATAATTTAAACCTTTTTTGCGACGCCATTTTATTTGTGGTGTATTTTATTCTTCTCTTCTCGCAACGTTTAAAGCATAAATATTTTTGGATCCCAAGGGACCCACTTGAATGTTTGTTGATAAAAAAGGTAAGAGCAGATATTTCACGAAAACGCTTTTGTAAGCAAACTTATTTTCGGCTGTGTTTAAATTTGTGTAGGTCTTAAAATCCTGATGATGCGTGGAAAATTTACACAGGAGGTAAATTCCAAGATAATTTAAATAAATTCGTTAATAACGTCGACTAATAGGTCTGATTTTAAATTCACTCAATAAATTTGCATTATTAAAAAAAAAAAATTAAAACGACCTAAAAATTTAAGCCTTCTAAAAACGCAAACACAAACGTACTAAGGTCAAGTCGCAAAAGATGTAATAAGTTGTAAAATATAAATGAAGGCATTAAAAATTAAAGAAAGCTTATTGAGAAACTTGCTGCACTGGCCGACTAACCGGCTTTGATTGCCGTGAACCTTGGGCCAGCTCGAGGCAAAAAATAAAATATGCTTGCAGTGTAAACATCTACTTGTGTGTGTGTGTGTGTGTGTGTGTGTAAATGCAGCACACAGCGGATTAGTTGTGAACGCGCCCGAGGGAGAAGACTTTGCTGTTGTCGGTGCTGGTGAGTTCAAATGCTTTTTTTATTGGCTGTGTAAATTGCTGCAATTAAGCTCGTGTACCAGCGAAAATGGTTGGACAAAACCAATGGAGATAGTGCAATAAAGACGTATATCTTTTTTTGGGAAAACTTCAAGGTTATTCGTTTAATATTCATTATGTAACGGAGTGATTTTAAATAAGTAAGCTGTGTAGTGTGAACGGAGCTAAATAAAAAATGCTTTGAGGTATGACATCAAAATATATTTCAATAAATGCGGATAATAATCTTTGCAATATTTTATACACAAATTTATATACCAAGATATGTACAATATGTATGTGACAATAACAGTTAATTTCTATATCTGGTTCAATCAGACAAAGTTCCATATAAATTGTGAACTTCGACACTGAAAAGCTCCACTCACCTGTTGTACATGAGCACATCGGGCTTCCACAGTCTGTGTGGAGGAATTCGAAGATCTCTCACGCCACCATATTCGCTTGAGTTCCAACGCAAATTCATGTCGTTCCACTCCTATATAAAAAAAGTAAAAGTTGTAGTTGAGTGTGGTGTAGTAGAGCGTGATTTTTGGGAGCATATAATAATTTTAAGTAGCTACTATTTTTCCGCTATCTTTTAATTTATTCGGTAATATGACAAAAGCTCTCTACGATATTTACGTACATTTTCATTACGTTACCAAACAGAGCTTACGACTAACTGCTGTGCCATAAAATTTCCTACATACATGCGCAGTGATTAGTATAAACAGCCTTCCGAACAAAGTACGAGTAATAAAGTTTGTAAAACATCACCGCAAAATGAATAATCGTGTCACTGAGTGATATTAGAGACGATGTGAAGTCGTAATTAATGAATACCTTTAAGACAGGGACCTGTTAGGTCTCCTGGAAATTGGAAGAGTTTATGCTTGGTCGGCTTAAGTGACTTCTTAGACCAACTACGGCTGGTAAACCGAACTAAGGATCTGGAAACTTTCCATTAAAAGACCGTCTGTCCGAAAACAGTGCGAAAGTTTTCACAGGAATAGCAGAATATTAAGCAATTCTAATAGGGAAGTATCCGCAGGCATTCTTCGACCAGTTTCTATCGCACCACAAGCGATCCTAAAGTCCTGATTGTTGCTTTTCTGTCGAAGCAGGTTAGGTTAGGCTAATGTGGCAGTCAGTTCAAAAGACCAACTCCCTTATACCTTGCATGTCCATTGTGTTACACTGTGAGACACGGAGACCTCAGTGCCTATTTTTCATGGAACTGTCTTAAAGCTCTTATGAAGCGTATAATTGGTTTTTCGTACAGCGGATAACTCTGTAATGCTGAGCAACTGCAGAGTAAGTGTTCCACTAATTCTTCATATTTCTCATCTTTTGAAACGTTCATGGTAGAAAATTCCAAACCCCGAAGAGTGCCTACTATGACCGGTTACACTAGTCATGACCTTAAAAATGTCTTCTTTTGAAAGGCTGAGCAGTTCATTGATTTCAATTATCAATTTGCAGCTATAGAAGTCTTGTTGTTACACAAGTGCTTTCATTTATCCATGAGCTATTGGCATCTTGAATAATGGTATATCTAATTCTTAATTTGCAGGTTCCCATGGGTATCTCAAATTTATCCCTGTCTTCGATCAGTGAAAAATTGGTACATTTTTCTGGGTAGCTCATCGGCCTTGCATTTGCGTCAATACCTCTATATCCCGGAATCCGTATGAGACTGACGTTGAAGACCAAGGTAATATCTGTTATAGCTGCTACGCTTCCTGAGCAACCGTTGATCTCAGCGTTATCGCATTCGTAGTTTTTGTTACCTTTTTTATGGCTAGAAATTCTGCCTGATAAAAGCTGAAGTGGCTCGAAATTCGGAATTCTAATTCCTTAGAGAAAACTCCATAGCCAACCTTATTGTCTACTTTGGATCCATCCGTGCGGAAATTTGACTCTTTCCTCTACATTAGGTATCCACGTAAGTTTTCTGTCTAATAATATCCCAACGGTTTTTACCCTCCATTCCCGCCCATCCGCACGAGGGGCGCAGGCCGCATGACGTACGGAACCAATATTTTAAATTTTTGTGCCGAGTCACGATAGGCAGGAGTTTGTTAAGTGTCGAGATCTAAAACTGTTCAGCTACAGAACTAAATTCATCAGCTGATTTTATGTATTTATGTCAATAATTCACTTATTGAGAGAGGAGAGTATCGCTTTCTTAATGCTGAAAAGCGGATCTGATATATCAAACGTGCTGGAATGAGAGTTAAAATCCTGGCATAAGCAACGGAGTGGGTCGTGCAATTCAAAATTAGTTTTACAAGCTTTCAGAAATATGGGACAAAAGTGTCTTGATACGCGTGACGGAACATTAAAGCTTACATCAGCCAGAAGAGACGGACTTGAAATTGAGCCTGTCAGTAATTTAACCATAAAAATTATACCAAGCATTTCCCTGCGACTGGCAAGTGTAGGAAGGTTAATAAGTTTTAAGCGACTCGTATAAGGTGGAAGACTATATTGAGAATCCCATCGGAAATTTCTTAAAGCAAAAAGTAGGAATTGTTTTTGAATTGATTCTATCTTGTCTGAGTAAATTTGATACCTTGGATTCCAAACCACCGAGCCGTATTCCAGAATCGGCCTAACTAATATTGTAAACAGGGTTTTAGTGATATACGGGTCACTAAATTCTTTTGACCATCGTTTCACAAATGCAAGTACACCTTTAGCCTTGTTGACTGTCACATTAATGTGAAGATTAAAATTAAGCTTAGGATCCATTGTGATACCAAGGTCCACAAAATTGTATACCTGTTCCAGGTTATGGTTACCTATTATATAAGAAACTGGCAGAACAGCTCTTCGCGAGAAGCACATTACTTTACATTTCTTAAGATTTAGAGGCATAAGATTTACTTTACACCAAGGAATGAAACCGAAACCCAAACCGAAACCGTAACCGTTTAAAACCGTTTCGTTTTTCAAAACCGAAACCGAAACCGTAACCGTTATCTTGACCTGAAAAGGAACGATACCGAAACCATTTCAATCACAGGTTTCAATCGGTTTCCAGAAATTTACAAAAACAATAAATAAAAATTTCTTTGAAATAAATGATTTATTTAACCAAAATCAGCAACATTTTGCTAAAATTCTTGTTAAGTAGTAAATAAGTATGGCAAGGTAACTTTTCGCAAAAATCTGCTGATGACTTTGTTGTTGTGAATCGATAATCGATTAATTATATTTAAGTAGTTTCTTTCCCGTACGCAATGCGAGATCCCGCGTGTGCCCAAAATAGCCCAGAAATCATTCCTGTACTCAACAAAATGGGTAATAGAGAGCGAAAATTCGAGCGTATTCGATCGTAAGTGTATTCTTCTTCCTGCCCGAAACAGCCCGAAATTTTCTCCGAGTAAAAATTGATAAAGTGTCAAAGTGCATATCAGCTGTATTGTGTTTACATGTTGCCTGCATTTACTTAGTGCTTTTAAGGAAAAGTGAATGACCTGTTGATGTATTTTCAATCTGTGTACTTAAAATCAAATTTGTGAAACCAAAATTCAATTTCCAAGTGTTTGCATTTAATACTATGTTCTGACCGACAACCAAAACATTTTTCCTTCTTTTTCTTTTCATTTACAACCTTTAACTTTCATTCTTATTTTGCTTTGGCCAGGCAATTATCAATAAATCCGAAATGGCGTATTAAAGATGATAAAATATGACTTCCACTTCGATAAATAATCGAAAAAAACTAGTGAAGACACCGATTGGAATGAGTGGAAAGTGAGTTTTCAAGTAGTTTTCAGCGAAAACTGGTTTTCGTTTAACAGATTTTATATGGACGAAAACACAAGTTTTAGGTCGAAAACCAGTTTTAGCAACGAAAACATGTTTCCGATGTCGGTCAGAACATGGCATAAGTGACAAATACAAGAACAACGTGAATCAGCTGTTTCTCGACTTGTGGGCACGAAATGTGGGTTTTTGCGTTTCCGTACTTCTGAACTTTGTTCCATTTTTGAAAGAAAATGTTTCTCTTATTCTCTAATTACCAAATCCGTTCCGGATTGTTAGGGAAAGAACCTAGTGTTGATATTATCAGTGAACTGTAATTTTCGATTTTCTTTCCTCAACGTTTAAGACATTGTGATTTAAATAATATCAACAAAATTTCTGTGAAAAACCGAAACCGGAACGAAACCGAAACCAAAACCGAAATAAATTTTGAAGAACGAAACCAAAACCGAAACCGAAACACTTGGCAAAACCGAAACCCAAACCGGAACATTATTTTGAATCGGTTTCATTCCTTGCTTTACACCAGTAAGCCATGCTGTTTAAGTCTGATTGTAGCAAAGACCTTTCTTCAATTGAAACGTACGATTTATAAAGTTTTACATCATCTGCATTAAAATTTTGGAGAATTTTATATCTGTAGAAATATCGTTTATAAAAAGCAAGAACAGAATCGGGCCTAGGTGGCTACCCTGAGGGACTCCTGAAGTAACATCAATGACGTCAGAGATAGTATTTTTAAACAATACCCTTTGTGATCTATCATAGAGGTATGAAGAGATCCAACGTAGAAAATTAGGTGGAAGACCAAGAAGATCAAGTTTATAGATGAGCAACGAGTGGCACACTTTGTCAAATGCTTTACTGAAATCAGTATATATAACATCAACAGTTTTGCTCTCACTAAATGCTTTTGAGATATAGGATGTTAATTCAAGTAAATTTGTAGAAGTTGATTTGCCCTTGCAAAATCCATGTTGACTGTATGAAATGCTTGAAGTGATAGAATGCGTCAACCGATTTGTTATAATTGCTTCAAATAATTTAGGAATTGCAGAAAGCTTAGCTATGCCCCGGTAGTTCTCCACTGAAGACCTGCTACCGCTTTTATGTAAGGGGGTTATGAACGATTCCTTCCATACAGTTGGAAAAACGCCCTCTTTAAGAGACAAATTTCTAATACCAGTGTTTCAAAGGAAGCTCCACACCCTTGAAAATTAGCGGGTAGACTATAGAGAGCATGTGTTTCCTTGTAAAGAGAGTAACTTCAGTTTTCTCTGGGTTTATTCCGAATCCCAGACTCGCTGCCCAGTTTCTAAGCGTGACCATACTAGAGTGTACGGGTAACTAGACATTTGCCTTTAACGACAATTGTCCGGTCGTCAGCATAAGTAGTGACGTGGAAACTGCAAAATCCAAATAATGAGACATTGCGCCTAAACTTAAATGAAGATTGAACGTTTTCTGATCAGCGTCCGACTACAATGAATTCCTCCGCAAGACGCTAAGCAACTCGTTGGAGACAAAAAAAATCGCTTCTGGTTTCCCCCCACGTAAAAAGCTTGAATTTAAAAACCGTAAAAAAAAAAAAATAATCTTGCTTCTAAGCTAAAATTTAGTTTGTTACCTTGTATTTGTGTTGCAAATCCTTTTCAAAGTGCAACAACTAAACCCACTTAGACGTAACACTAGGCTTTTATGCGTCATTATGGCGGCCTAATTTCGACAAATTTTTATTAATAGCTTGTTGTTGTGCTCACTTAAATGCGATTTCATAAGTAAGTATGGTAAGTATGTTACCAGAAGTAATCAAAAGGCATTTGGCGCAACCGCCAAATTATAAACAAATGCAAAACGGACAAATTGCTTCGAGCAACACATCGAAAGTTGGCGGTTAAAGAAAGCGAAACGAAAGTGGGGAGAGACTAAATTTGCTTGAAAGCGCGGTTACACTGCACTCATATTCATTAATTTCGATTTCAATATGGATTATTACACAACTAAACAATGGCGGCTCTTAATGGATGGGTGGTACTAACAGGAAAACACTAATGGATTGTGAAACAGAGAGCAGAGTGAAAGGGTTTGTTGTAGTTAGTTAGAGTAGATGGAGCAACTCGGTCGAGGATTAAGCTTACGATGATAAGCGCAACGCTGCATTAAAATCAGGAGATTTTTCGCTCTGCTCCATGCTGAGGTGCTTTGGATTTTTTATTATATTTTTTTTTTATTAAATGGTGAACAGCGAGTAATTAAGTGGTGGGACTGAAAGCTAAGGAGCTGTGAAACGTGACGGTGGAACGAAAAGTCCAAAACCGTATGCCAATGTGTATTTTTGTATACACTCAGTGTCATAATTATAAGCACACCACATATTGACAAGTTTTAAAAATGTAGTTTTTGTTATAGTAGTAGTAAAGTAGTAGTTATTGTAGTAAATCCAAGCTTTAAACTTTGTGGCAATATTCAAACAGAATTCAAAAAATTGACGTAGGTTATCTTAATTTATAAAGGTTGCCCTAGATAAGGGACACACATGTAGAGTTAATAGATTGTCCCTTTTTTTTGACACCACGAAAGTTTAACGGAGACCATTAATTTATCCGAAGAAACGTTGCGAGCTGATTACGAATGCGACTAACGTCAATGCCTGAGAGCTCCTCAAGACCAGTCAGGCAGTGTGAGCTAACGTGTTTCCATATTAGCACCATCATAACGTGTAGGGCCCTGATAGCTGTCTGGATTCACATCTCGAGCCGGTTAAGCATCCGGCAGCCCAGAGCCTAAGGGAAGTTCGTGCCGCGTGGATTTCAATGCCCCACTAATGCCAGTTAGGTCAAGCGGCTGCATGCGCTGCAGTTGCTTGGCAAGTGTAGCTCTCGCTAGCAAATTCTACCAGGCAATGAATTACTTTAAACGAGAGACCTCACCTCCTACGAATAGCTCCACTGCAGCAGCATAAGGCGATCGACGCCTTTCTAGCCCTTTCTTCAATGTTAGGCTTCCGTGGCAGCTTCCTGCAAGGACTTACGTTAGAATTTCGAAATTTTTAATTAGTTTCGTAGCCTAGCAAGTTTGAAGTAGCCCGGACTTACCGTTGATTGTTTGGAATTTTGTTTTCGTTGAAGCTGTTACTAATTTTCTAAAAAAAAAACCAAGAACACGCCCTGCAGGGAAGAAAATGCACAACACCGTCAGCAAAAAAAAATTCCCAAAATCAACGGCAAGTCCCAGCTACTTAAAAGCAGCACTTTATTATACTAAAACTTATTGGGCTTTAAAGACTAATAATCAAAATCTTTCTAAGAAATCTAATTAAAAAGATCGACATTTTTACGATTTTTTTTTTTTTTAATGTAGCACAAACTCCTAAACTTGGATTTATGTAGTTCTTGTTACAAACTTTACTATATTTTTATAAAAAAATATAACTAACTAAAAGCAAAAAATACGTGGTGCGCTTATAATTACGACACAGGGTGTATATATGAACGTATGCAGTCGTATTCGTATTTTGGACAATTGCAAAACAGGAAATATCAAATTAATTTTTTATCAACAAAAATCTTAACGAGTATTAAATTCGAGCACACTTTACACAGAGGATGCTTTCTGATACGTTTGTTGTTGTTGTTATTCTTCTGCAGCGGCAAACAATTTCCTAGCAGCAGCGACAAAAAGAGGTTTCCAATTTCCGCAAAAAGCAATTTTGGCAAAGCAAATGAAACTGTGAAACGAGCAAACATCGTCGAACACCAAATAAGCAGCGCGCTGTATGCAGAATAAAAGAAAGTCCGAAGAGACAAATTACAAGTAGGCACGGGCGGGGCCAGCGAATGGGAAAGCACAACCCCGTAAATTGGCAACCGGAAGCCAAGGGAGAGGAAAGCGCACCACTGCATTGTAAATTGTAAATGAAACCAGCAAATCGTAGGCAAAGGATATGGAAAATTTTCGCAAAGTATCCACAAATGAGCCGGCAAGCGCTGAGTAATTACATTGCGCCCAATTTCTGTATTTTCTAATGAAAAATGAGCATTTTGTGTTCACATTTTGTGTCGGATTGGCAGCACACATGTGCCACATTCAGCAATTCACATTTGCTTATATGCAATTTGCAGGCCACATAATTCCTCAATGAGTGATCGGTAATTGCAAGGCAAAGTGAAAAAGTGAAAGAATTCGAATTGGAGAAATGCTGCTGATGCTTTGTTTGTTTTTGTTGTTGTAAAAGTAATAAAGTAAATGGCATGCACATGAAAAGCTTTTGTAAGCCGAGTAGAACAAAAGGTACATACACATACATACATACATACATACATATGGACGTACATACATTGCCTAAGTGACAAACAATTAATGTCACTCATACGCAACGCGCGCCGCAATCAGACATATAAATGCGGATAAGCATGTAAAAGCAATTGAGCTGAGCGCAGTAATTGCGTTTCCATTTAAAAATTGCTTTAATCTAGATTTGTGCCACGTTAATCCGTATCACACGCGCGCGTTTGGTAGGAAAGGTGGGTGGGTGCGGGTAGGCAATGGCTCAACAGGAAACAATTTCAATTCCTTGTAATTGTCTAAGAATTTGCAATTTGTCATTCTACATAGATGTGTTTACTAAGCCGAAAATGTGAGTACTTATGTTATAAATCCGGCATCATCATCAAATTTCGTTAAAAGCTGCTTAGGGGCTTCCATGTATGTAAGTGAATTGCAGATGCGTAATAAGTGTAGCAGCACAAGTAGAAGGTTTTAGGGTTGATTTTTTATTTTTTTTTTCTAGTAACACTTTCTTTGCTGAGTATTTTGAGTGTCATTCATTGTGACAAAAATGAAAGCGAACTCGAGCTTTGGACACCAAGGCAACAAAGTTTTTTTGCTTTTGCTTTTCGGCTTTAGAGCGCTTTTTACTGCTTTGTTCCATTTAGCTGTCGTTCAGCTGCCAGTTTATCTGCAACTCAAACTCTGTGGCATTTTTATACCCGTTGTTGCCTTTGGAATTGTCAAAGTAAAGAATGCTATTACATTTCATCTGCTTATTGCTTATGGCCTTGTGTTAATTTTTAGGCAAATCTTATGAGCGTTTTCATTTTCGAGTTGTAAGGCGAATGAAATTTCATTACAATTATGCTGAAAAAATTTCGTGTAGGTGGCACCGTTTTATTAAGCAAAGATTTTTAGGATTAAGAAATAACTTATTTCCTTCCTCTGCTGCTCCTTAAAGGATTTTATTTCACGTTTTTCCCGCTCAGGTGATATGCTAGAAGTTACTTATTTTAGCCTGTAACATAAATTACACGAGGAGACAACTTTTTTTGAAAGTATATCTTCTAATTGATTGTATGATTAAGCACAAGCCAAAAAAATAATTTTCATGAATTGCAGGTAATAAGAAATCGATTAATCGCATTTTAAAGGCATTTTTTGACAGTGGGTATTCACAAAAATACTTTTCCACAAAAAAAAAATCGAATTATTTTGTTAATTAGCATTAAATAAAATAAAACGAGTATTTTTAGCGGCGAAAAAAGTCTTCAATAACTGTTATCTAAGACATATAATATAAAAATCAAAAATAACTGTTATGTACAGATTATTTATATAAAAATCAAAAATAATTGTTATTTTGTATTGGTAAAATAGACATCAAAAGTAATTGTTATTTTTTTTTTAATTTTGCACACAAATTACAAATAAAAATTTTATTTTCAAATTTGATTCTCGGTGAAAAACGAAATCGATTATTATGTATCACTTAGTTGTAGAACATTTCGTTCATACTGAATTTTTCAATGACAGTTTACATCAATAACTGTTAAGTTCGGTCCCTGGATTTGAGAACATTCAAGAATTACATTGAGAAACCCATCATACGTACAAAAGAGTCGCTGCAACACCAAACGAACTCACCATCAGATACTTACATACATATATTCGATTTTGAAACTACATTAATAAATACTAGAAGGAGTACATAAGTACTATTTATTATCCGAAAGCCAAACGATTTTATAAGCAAAATGTCATTTGAACGCAATTATTTGAGACCACAGCTGCTTATCGCAACGGCAAAAAAATAACCAAAGGCGGAAAGTAGAAGATTAATATTTGGAGCATTGCAGTAGGGAGAGCTCATCTTTAAAAAAATAAATAAATAAGAGAAAACCATATCCACTTTGCGCTTCTATCCCCCTTTAATAAACTTTAGCACTTAAATTGTCGCGCGGGGCCGTCACTTCTTTTGGCGTTGTTCCGCAACTCGCCCGGAGTTTCTGTTTATTTGCTATGTGTCTGCAAGTTCAACCAAAATTGCTGTTGACATTATTCCCTGGACAGACAATTTTCCTGCGCTAAAGACTAACGCATCTCTAATCGAACTCAAAGATGCGATAGCAGTGAAAATAAATATTACTGATTTGAATAACATTTGTGTTGCAGCTGGCGTACGCTTTCACCTAGCAGACAACAACTAATCGCCACTGGCAGGCTCCTCTTCTCCCTGCGCAGCTTATTTATTGTATTTATACAAAGTCTCGATATTTATTTGATATTTTGTGATTTCATTTGCTTCGATTTAGTTATGTTTCCCAAAATCATTTGTTGATTGTTTGTTTCCCCCAACCCCCCAAAAATACTGTCCTATGAATTTATTTGTGATTTCAGTGGGACAATATTTTATTGCATTTGCTTTTGCTTTGCTTGCCAACTTACCAATTTGAGCCAAATATTTGTTATAAGCAATTGGTTCTTCTCGTCCTGGAAAGAAAAACAAATATGGAGAAGAGAAAGAAAAAAATTAGTAAGAACATCACTAACTGGAAATTTGTTATTCTGATTTTATTCACATTACATATACTTATGTATATGGTTTTGTTAGTAGATTTCATAGAGAGTTTTAGGATGTACTGTTAAATTTGCAGTACTTATGTTACATAACATATGCATATAAGAAAAACATACATATTATATTAAGTGCTTAAATATAAAACAGATGTCACTGCTTTTTTAATCGAATCACAAAAAATTAGATTTAGAAGGCATCATCAAAAAAATTTGCGATTTTTCCGCCGGTATTACCTAAAAAATTTATTATATTTGAAGACTTCCGCCAAAATATTTCGGAAAAATATTAAGATTAACTTGAGCTGGACCGATTTGAAAATACCTATAAAAATAGAGTTTTTTTATCGACAAAAATAATTTCTTAAAGGATTTTTTTTGAAAAGAATCCCCTAGAACGACAAAACTTAAATAACTGGACCAAAACTGTATCGATTTAGATTTTTAAGATATCATCGGAAAGTATTTTTTCGCCTTTTTATTTCTTTGCAAAAAACTCATTCACGTCCCAATTTTTATTTGATCAAATATCAACACATCCTAATTAAACATGGAAAGACGCTTGTCCATCTTACCGATATCTTTCAATCTTTCAATTAAATTATTTAAATTTAAAAAGGGTGAGAAAGTTTCTTTCCAATGATACCTCAAAAGTATAAATCGGTAAAGTTTTTGCGGACTTATTTAAGTTTTTCTTAAACAAATGTTTGAAAAAAAATGCAAAAACCATTTGCCATCTGATTAAAAAAAATGCTTTAAAAAAATTATTTTCTTAATATTTTTCCGAAATATTTTGGGGCAAGCAAGTCTTAAAATATAATAGATTTTATAATTCCAATAGGAAAAACAGTACCGTCAAAAAGTGCGATAGCTATACGAAAATTGTGACCAACTGGTTGCAGACGCTCCCCCCAGATTTAGATTTTCTTTTTTAAAGCTGTTCTGATGTTCATAAATTTCTAGTAAAACATTTAACGCAATGACTTGATAGCGACAACATTCAAATTTGGAATGCACTTACATAAATGCTAATAGAAAGATATAGTGCATATGTATGTTTTGTGTTAATCAAACAGTTTGTCATTTGATCAATTAAATTGAGTGCTCATTTGTAATCCAATAAAAGCATTAGCGGTAATTCCTATTTGATCGTCACTTTCACTGTAACGAGTTGCTGCCGCATGTTGCGAATCAATTAAGCCTAATGCGATTGTCACTGTAAGCCATTATAATGTGCAAATGAACACACGTATTTACATACAAACATGCAGACATGTGTAGTTTGCTGATAAATCTTGGTATGGACAGGCGATAAAGGTAAATACAGGGGTGTGTGGGAAGCAATTAATTAATTATTGTAAAGCTAATCAAGATTTTGTAGCTTTTTATAAAATTGCTACCAATTGTTATTGGTGCTGTTTATTTCAGGATAAAAGCGGATCTATTAGAGTCTCACAAGCCAATCTCACTTTTATTTTCGGAGGCAAATATAATAGAAGCTCGTATCTTCTCCAGACTAAATAGTAATACAGTGCAACAAATTCCAAAAAGACTGGTAAAATGATGAAAAAGTACAAAAATATTTGAAAAAGTTAATCGCCATTTTTTATGCCTATTTGTAGTTGGAGATCTAAGAACCCAAAATTACAATATGTAATTTTTCTTTGTTTTTAAAATTTCTCTTTGAAATCAATGTTGAGTCAAGTCAAAGAAAACGTTTCCTGAAGTCACACAAATATTTTCAATTAATGCTCCGTATTTACCACTAATCAAACTTGCTAGAGTAAACCGCCTAGGCACAGTGGTCCAAAACTGACATTTACTGCTCAAAATAGACCAGAGCGTTAATTTTTAATTCTTTATTTTTGTTTTGAATGAAAGTTAATTAAATTTCAAAGGAACCTGTTGAGCCCGATGTATGAATCTTTATTTGTTTAAATTAAATATTTTAGCAATTTTGGAGAAAATGGATTCTCTTGTACCTGTTAAAAGAGGTTACATTATAAAAACTAGTTTAAAAAAATGTAGGGTTACCCCAAAACGGGAAAATATTACAAGACAAATTTGAAATGTTATAAAAGAATGTTCATCAAAATGATTTTCCTTCGCATTTTTTTAGTTTTTTGAAAATTTTCGCACATACTTAAAACCAGGCTCATTTGAAAGTCGATCCTTCTGCTAAAATAATGGTAATCTTTCTTATTTAATATGAAAAACCGCGATTTTCCAAATTATTTGCAGACATCTAAAACGCAGCCGATTTTGGATTTGAAAACATATTAAAGCCAGGTTTTAAAAGCTACTTGACACAAGCAAAGTCAACAAACACTGTGGGTGCTATGGAGCAAAATAAAAAATCTCCATCAAAAAAAAAAAAAAGTGTTTTAGGGGACTTTCCAAACACCTTGCCGACACCAAAAATACTTTTATAATGCTTTATATATCAAATTAGACAGGGTATTAACTCAAATAAACCGCTTGACCCAGAAAACTTACTAAAAAAATTTTCGCACTGCTCAAAAATGTTTGCAGTCCATTTTTGAAAATAGTCCATTACTGTAACACACACAACACGGCCCTGCTCGAGAACATCCCTGATTCGTGGTGGTAAATCAGTATGTTCCGCCAACTGAAGTTAATCACCTTGGCGATGGGCCCAAACTTTCAAAGCTTTTGAACTTTGAGATGCTTACTGGCTATCTCTTCGATCTTAGAAGATTCTTCACTTCCAATGAACAACAAATTTTTGCAGCAAAATTCTTTACCACACTCTTCAAAATAAGAACATCCCTTTACTCGTGATTTAGAAGACCATTGACCGGATGGCAGTGAACTAGGCTACGCCGTCAGCATCAGAGGCTGCACAGAAAGAGGAACTGGAATTAACGCGTAAGACTCAGTGCACCTTGGCGCAACTGAAGTCGTGTTCGTAGCGGCTGACCCTGGCTCTTCGACGATTACTCCTACTTCAACTACAATAAAATGAATGGGCAATTTCATTTTAATTTTAGCCGGGTCAAACGATAAGTAAAAATTATAGAACTGCTTCTTCAGTACAAAAAAAAAAAAAACTCTTTAAAATCGATGAAGCTGGTTTAGGAGGCGAATAATTGCGAACAAATGCAATTCAGAATTTCATTTGGGTTTAAAAATAAATGCCAGTATTTTAATTGAAAAAAAAAAAAAAATACATTCTCTGAAAAACTGTTTGTGAGCCTCATAAAGGGTTAAAACCCAACTTCTGTTAAATAAAAAAATGTTCTAAGTACTTTTTTGTCAAAGTTTCAGTAGATTTTCCAATTAAATCACTTTAAATATTCAGCAGTCGTACATGTATGTTCCCTTAATAAATTATATATAAATTTCAAATATTTTACCACAATTTAATTGCCACAAATGCACTACTCAAATTATCACAAAATTTCCATTGGCCATTTGCCAGACATCTAATCATTTTTGTACTATGGCCTAAATTAATTGCTTTTGTGTAATTTTTATCTAAATAAAAAATTCGTATTTGTTGTTATTTTATTTTATGTAGGCAATTTTTTGAAAATAAATTAAATTTACCATCACACAAAATGTAAAAACAAACAGTTGTGCAGAAAAATTGCAAACGGAGTAGTACAAGAATAATTGCAAATATTTGTGGCAACGATTGACGAGCGCATTTTTGTTTGACGGCTATGAAATCGAAAGCTGAAGCATTTAAATTTTAAAATAACGTAGCTTATACAAAAACAAAAAATAAATAAATAATAAAACAAAAAGAGAGCTTAACCGCAGAGTGATTGCGCAATTAGTTAGTAAATTAAAAAGGTGTGAGCCTCAATGGCCGATTAACACTGCGATAAAAAATATATATTTACTTATATGTATAAGCAAAACGCATACATATGTATGCATTGGTATGAACATTACATGTGTACATATTAGGGCGATTGACGCGATTTTTCCAAACCGATTTTCAACGTTTTTTTTTTTTTTTTTGATATATATATAGGCAGTTTTTGGGAAATCTTAATTTTTCGAATAAAGCTTGCCAAAACGAATTAACTCTTGTTGTGGAAGTTTTTAAACTATTAAAAAAAAATTTTATGTTGAATGTAGGTGTTACTGGAAAATGTAAAAAGGCTTAAAAAACATTATTTTTCGAAATTGTCTTTCAAAAATTCTTTAATTTCGAAGGGGTACTGGGAATTTTTTTTGTTTTCTTGTAAGGTGGTGCGGTCTAATGTGCATAGCTAAAAACATACTTATGCATATATATATAAAATGGCGAAGGACACAAAAATCGCGCACGAACACACACACACACACACACATATATATATAACGTTAAAATGCTGTTGTTGATTTTCGCATTTACACACACAATATGGCAACTCGGGCATGTTAACTAATTAGGGTTGCCACAATGCATTTCACAAATAAACGGAAATTTTCACGAGAAATTGTTTGTGCAATTTTTGATTTTGCGTTGGTGTTGTTGTTTTTGTTGTTGGCGGCGCGCTACTGCACTGCATAAGCACACACGTACGTATGTGCATACTTAAACACTCAAAAACCCATACACACATACACATTAATAGAGCATGCACAAGCGAAAGTTTGGAGCATAATTGCTAGCGCAAAAATAGTTAGCGTCAACAAAACGCTGCTGCTGCTGCAACATTTTCGCAATTTGCCGCTTGTTGACGCGCGCTGTTAAATAAATAAACGCTACGCTCTCTGTGTGTGCGCTTGCGTATGCCAACGCAACGTTCGTGAATTGCATTGTTTTGGCAAATTACTAGAGCTTTGCATACTTTTGGGAAATTCGCTGGAGTTTCATTCATTACTGACATAACTACATACATTTAAAATTTGGGTATTGTAAAATTTTACATTTAACGCGCTTGACGTTTATTTAATTCAATTGTTGCGCAAATATTTGTCAGTACTTGAAGGAAATTGCAATTTATTAAGCTGATCACGTCACGGGTCAAATGGAGTAAAAATTGTTATAATAAAAAGAGCATGCAGCCATATCCCTGCAGAAAATTTGTACTTGAAGTCTTTGGTTTTCGGTCCATTAGTGGCGGCAAACGAAACCATAGATCACTACACTTTTTTTGTACAAAAACCCACCAAATTTTCAACTAAACCGTTTAAAACCGTACAACCGATTCATCGGTGAAAACGAATTGACTACAGCATCACCTAGTAAATAACTTATAACAAAAATTTGTCTTTCTAAATATAAATA